TTGTCGTCTGTGTGACAATATCGGAGTAGATTATTGACTCCTCTCCAGTTGACAGTTTGCAGAGTCCACTTCCATTCCACCTGCTTTCGCAAATTCCTAACACTTCAATGCTCTACCTTCTCATCTCCTTTGCAGTCTGGGCAGTCTTGCTGGGTTCAGACATGGTGGTGACATTCCATGTCCCCATGTTCACTTTTGCTTTCTTCGAGAGGGAGAGAGAGAGAGTGAGAGTGGAGACACATTGGCGAATAGGCTTCTCGAAGGCTTTCACCACCTGGTGTCATTTCGCCTCTCCGATTCCAGTGAGGAATAATTTTGTTTTTATTTTTTATATTTTATTTGTGCTTTGAAGTTTGTTTAGTGGTTAGATTTGTTTTACGGGGTAGGGCTGCTAGCCCCACGCCCAACCTTCTCTCTTTACCTGGGCTTATGACCGGCTAGTAACTAGTGAACTTGTTAGCCAGGCAAGGCTATCTATATTGTGATTCAATGGAATATGACTTACTCAGCGTTCGAGTCAGAATTTGTTGTGAATAATTTCCTTATTATCTGCTTTTATGTTGTGTGACACTCATAAATCAGCAGCTTTGTATTTTCTAAGTACATGTCAAGATATTTGGGTCCACATACACAATTGCAGTCAGTTTCAAATCCGCTACAAAAGATCATGAGCTCAGCCATCTGCAATTGTGTTGGGTTATTGGGAGTCTTACTGATGCTATAAAGAATGAGAATATCCTTTAGAGCGTATTTTCTGAGTTACTCGTAGGTTACTTGCGAATGTATATCAATCCAATAGTTTAATTATATTAAAATCACAGCTGCTGACAACTTTATAGTTTTTGGCTATAACAACAGGATTACAATTAGTCTCCATATAACTAGCCCATTCGTTGTAATCTTTATCATTCCTTTTTAATGTGTGATAATATTCATAACGTCTGATTCCGATATACCTATCTTTTCTAAGGCTGAGTCAATAGTCCTTATTCTTAGTCTTCCTTCGTTTTATCCAGATAGTCTTTGTTTGGGTTTATTCCTTTAGAACATATCTTCCTTGCTAACACAGACAGTACTCAGATCATGGTAATTTGGCTGGTTGAGGCTAGCAGAGGTCATTCAGGCAATATGAAGGCATTAGCATAGGAGCCCGCCCATATGCCAATAGAGGTCAAACAATTCGATCGAATGAAACAACGGAGAATTACAACTATATCAATAAATAGTAAGTACTAAGATTACTTACTTAAATATTTTTAGTTCATTATGACCAGATGAGGTGGCATATTAAGTTACAGCGGTGTTAACAAACTCAGACCCAGACCGATAATACGACGCATTAAAACAAGTTGTAAAAGTCACCTCTTTGCTAGACCAAGAAGCCATGGACTACTTCCTGAATAGTGTACTCCTAAATTACAAAATGCTGTCTCAAATAAGGCAGCATATGACTAAAATACCGGGGATCAAAAGGTTGTCGCTTAAAAAGCGATATGTACCAGTTTTTTTTGATGATGATGACCATAGAGAAAAGTTTGACATTATCACGGAACGCATTTACGAAAGAACACAGGTGAGATGTTCACCTCAACCTGATGAACTTGTTGTACTGAAACAGAAGACAGAGGTGTTATGCAAGCCAATATCTGCTTTAAGTACAAGTTTGAAATTGTGATTCTTTTCAATATGCAAGTATTTCAGACCACACCGATATCCACTGTAACGGAAGTCAACAGTATCCTTGTGTCATCACACACTCACTTATCGAGCTCAACGCTGTCTTATGCCATGCAACATAAATAAGATGTCACATTCTGTAGACAAGGAAGGCCAGTGGTCACTGGTGAATGCCGTTGCTGACAGACATAAACCAAACTGTCATTCGTTTTATATTATCGATAGAAGTATGGAGGCTTAGCTTTGGTGGATGTCGAAAGCGAAGTCAGCGTAATTTTTCCAACTGCTACTGGTCGATAGAAATATGATCCATTTTTAACCCGCAAGGTGAAAAACAAGTTCAGGATACACTTTTACGGACAGCGTGATCTGGACTCTCACCTTTATCTAAAGACGTCCTTCACATGGAAGTTCATCACTTTAGAAGTGTCCATACCCTTCACGGGTGAAGTTTTTCTACGTCACTCCAGTTTGTTGGCAGACAATCAACATTACGAACTTTTGAATAATCAGAAAAATGTATCTGTCTGAGAGATACTGACTCAGTGTTTATGATTCTCATTATGTAAATAAATATCAGTCTGGAATATTTGACTACTGGAAGAATTACCAAGAAGAAAACTACCGACATATAATGAACCAGAACTGAAACATATCACTCATCACATTGAAACACGAAGGACTCTACATTTACAAAACTACCTTGATTAGACCCTGATAAACTTAAGGTAGCTAAGAATGGATTCGATAAAATGTTAAAACTCGTCATCATTTTACCATCTACTAGTTATTAGTCCATAGCACTCCAGAGAGCATTGAAGAATACTTAGAGGATATATTATCGTGTACCGTGTATCCACAAGTTCTCCCAGAATATGTCTAGAGTACACTTATTTTCGCAAAAGAACACTTCGAAAACTGTGGTCACTACTAACTTTCTTCGGTAAATTCCAGTTTTGCGCCTACTGTTTTGTATAACCAACGCTGTACACCTTTCCTTTATGTTTACTGATCCGGTCATGCACGGTATCCTCTTTGTCCTACCATACAGTGATGAATTACTAGTACCCAGTATATAAGAACCTTACTACATGCAGTACCTCAGGAACCTTTCTGAGTAGTTCATGCAGTATGGAGTTAGTATCAACCTGGTCACATATTAGATATAAAAAGTTGTAAAGCTGATTCACTCAGAAGTCATAGAGATCAAATACTAACGTTCACCAGACTCACTTCATAAACTCAGCAGCTTTTTGGTCCAGTAAAGGTATATTGTCGAATTGTACCAAACTGACTACACATTTCTTATCAGTTGACAGGTCTGCAAAGAGGTAGTTCTAGAACACTGCAGATTACGCCAGTAGCTATGACTGCATTTGACGATTCAGAGATAACTGTAGCCTCTGAGACATTTCTAGAGCATTGTGTCATCAACGCACCCTTAGTTGTCATAACTACAGTATTAAATGCAGCTTTCAATGCAGTCATGCAATGGTTTACCGACGACATCTGTTGACTGGATCATAGCGTTTCTACCGAGAAGATTTTAGGATATTTTTTGGCTCTGTGTGTGACAGTTGTTGACTGGCGAGAATTCGCACCATAAAACGAATTAACTGTTCAAAAACATTTACTTTTCAGTAATTCTGTTAATTATGCTAAGATTGGGTTTACAATAATCTTACTTGATTTGCTGTGAAGAAGTTAACCGGAGTTTGAAATCAAGGTCTATATAGAAATTTAGCCGTGTGCTTGACATATTTTTGGTTTTCATTCATGTAGCTAGAAAGGTTTGATAAAGTCAGCAAACGTATAGAAATTGGATTCACTAAATTCAAGCTTTAAAAAGGGTTGTTGCTATGACAACTATACCCATAAAAATTCGTTTTTATTTGAAGTGCCTAGAAAATTTAACAATAACTTTTCTATACTGGGTGATGATTGAGGGTGAGATGCATTACATAAATACATATGCCTCTCTAATTATGATTAGTCAAGAAGTTTGTTTGACCGTTTATATGCTGTAGTGACTTGAAGCAAGATATATAGTGCAACAGTTAATGAGAGGAGTTTATCTCTAGAATAAACTAAGTTCGTCATCATTATTGCTGCTGGAAGTGTAAGGTGTAAATTCTTTGAATATTTTTGACATATCAGAAGAGTTAAAGCAAACTGTTTCTGAAAAAAGTTAGTCACTTCGTAAAATTCGCAGACGATAATAAGAAGTTGAAGGTCATCTGAAAAATGTGAGTTGCTTGCCCAAAACATTTCGAACAGTCTGATAACATATTTACTTGTCAAGATATTTCTAGAAGAAAGGTGGAAATATCGTACCTTGCTTAAACGTAATCAGGTTCTGTATCAACTGTACAATTTCACTGGGAGGCAAGTATATCCAGCTGATGAGACCCAAATAGGACGAAACGCTCATACTAGACTCCACTGCTACCTACTACACATCATTAATATATAATTCAAACGCAGGTAATATCGAAGCATCCGCATAGGAGCCTATATTCCAATAGCGACCGATCAATCTGGTCCATTCAGCGACAGGCTAATACACGTAACAACATTAAAACTACACCCGTCGTACAAGAAGTGGCTATCATGACTTGGTGATCTAGTGGATAACGCCCTGGTGGGAACAACGTCGCTCACTGGGAGGTGGGTGCATCCAGCTGACGAGTCCCATATGTGACGAAATGCGCATCGTCGACTCTACTACTGGTTATTATGCATCATTAGTAACTAAAAGTGAATGAATGATTGGCTTTTCGCAATCTCAACAGTTTTGGTTAGCCACCTTTCAACTGGGTGACTCAACTAGACAAGAATGTTTCGAGGTAAACAAACAGATGAGCAGCTGTTGTTTATGTTCCCTAATACAATAATGAAGGCAATATGATAACCAAATGGTTATGAAGTGATTAAGTATAAAGAAATAGTTTGTTCGTTAAAAGTGAAGCACTTCACGGAATCCCATTCATTTAATATAATCATTTCCCTACATTTTGTACCAAGTAAAATGTATCGATAAAATTGCACAGAGAAAGCACTTGATTATTAACTTTCATTTAGAACTAAGAATGTGTCCTTTGTCAATCTTTGACAATTAATTAATGTTCAAAATCCTGCCTTACAGAAGATCAGGGAAACTCTGATTAGTTCAGAGGTTCATTGCTTTTTAAAGATAGGAGTGACACGCTTTTTAATATGTAATGAAGTGAGAATTTCGTTAAGTTCGTTTATATCATTTAAACATCACGACTTACCATCATACAGTCCATTGTTTTGCCTTACTGTGTAATGACCATATGATGCTAACTGCCTTCATTATATGCACTTAAAGTAACACTACTTAAAGAAATCAGTGTTAAAAGTCTGTACATCAAACAAAATTTTTTCTTATAGTTCATTGAAAGAAACTTACATCATTGCAAGAGAACAAGTAGTTGAACGGGACAAGAATAACTTAAACCATTGATCCTCCGGGTCAACTGAATAAATGATAAGAAACAAACGTTGGTATGAAGTTGAAATAACTAGCAAATACACTTATGTTGCATCATACCTGAGGTAAATAAGTGTCTTAATACTTGAAGTTTTTTTCGGAATTCCTACTATGAATGAAATGATGTTAGGTTACCTTGACATTATGTCAGATGGCCAATCGTAGACATCAGTTTCATTTTACACGAACAGCAAACACAATCGATAAACCATTGTTGGAAGAAGTCAACAATACTTATCGCATCACGACATTATTAACAGGATGATTTGGACACTGATTACTAACAATTTTTTGCCGATAAAATAAGGGTGGTCTTAACGGTACTTAGTTTAAGTAAAATGATATCAGCTGATGAGATCTGCTGATTTGTAGCGGTCTTATCAGGTGACTTTCAGACTTCAGTGTTGAGATTCTCCGGATAAAATCTCAACATGCTTTGAGGAAAGGAAGAGTATAAAAGTGGTTCACTGCATTTCATCGCTACTGAGATCTGATGTGAGGTCACCATTTTTGACCGAATTATTACAGTTTTTAAAGCTAATACTTCGACTATCGAATAATAAATAATCTTTAGATGCTCAGCAGAATAAAAATTTTCATATGAATATGTTCAAGATTATAGTTTGAGTGATATTCCGACTGTTAGTAGTTTTCTGAAAGATAGAATTCTAAGGGATTTCAACTCTAGGATTTAAAACATTAGTGATGTAACTGTGTGAGACATTTTGTTTTTTCATCTTAGATTCAGTTGAGTTAGGATTGAGATCTTTTCAAAATAATAATGAACCTTAATATGACTCCAAGTGGAACTTAGGGACTTTCAGTCTAAAAACCCTATATAAAAACTGCAATGAACATATAAGCCAGATCATTGTTGCCTGGGATAAAATCAGCTTAAGAAGAAATTTTCTAAATTGAGACACTGAAAATATAAGGAAACAGACAAGGAGGATGCATACATACGTACATACATATGTGTAAAATTTTTCACGTGCATAAGTTTTGTCTAACACCACGACATAAGTCATCCCATTAATTTGCCCAAAATATGCAGTCTCAAAACTAGACTTATTCAAATATTTTGCTTGGGATAGATCGTTTCCTAATAATCACTGTGAATCTAAATTGTAATTTGGCCTAAAAAAACCCATTAGATGAATTACTGAATCACCCACAGAACTCAAGTGCTAATTAACTTTTGAAAATTAAGAAGATAAATCGCCTAAGTCATCTCCTGTTCCGCAGAGAGGAATCGACTAATCAGACAGAAGCAACCTTCGAAAACTCACTAAAACTAGGAAGCCAAGTAATCTCAATGCAGTGAAATTAACGTTTCACACTCAAAAAGATTAAGTTTAGGAATTAAACAGTTGCACACACTTCATTGTGCCATAATTCAGAATAATATTTTATTATAGCGATGACTAATTATCAAGATACGTCTAGACTTGAGTGTTAATGTTCAGGGAGGAACTTGAAATTGACACTCAGTAGTCTGGTGAATAGTGTTATGATGCACAAATAAACGAGCTTTATTACCAGTCTAAATGAAAAAGCCAATAGAAATTTAGTAATTCGTTTTGACTTGTTCCAGAATAAACAAAAATTACCCCCTGAATACCATTGTTTAACGCTGCCAATTGTAATCTATAAGTTGGTTAACATTATCGACTGGATTTGAAGCTAACAGTCCAGAGTCATATACTGCTAATGACGACAAGAGGTACTTAGATTGTACAATAATGTGGATCTCAAAACAGGAACTAAGAGGTCAGACAGTGCATTCAAGATAAATGTAAACTCCTAATATTGACATTTCAGAGAGAAAGAATGGTGTATAAAAATAATTCAACAAATTCTTGTTTACTTACTATCACAAATAGTATCTGGATCAATTTGCCACGTCTCCTCAACAATCTCATTTTGTTTCAATTTTTTTTTATACTACCGAAATAAAAGAATTGGAAAAAAACTTTATATGCAGGTATGGATTTTGTGATGTATCAACAGAAATAAATAATTTCGATAAGTCTGAAAATACTTAACCAAACATGTTTCAATTTATTTTTGAATGTTTGAGCAAAACGAAATCTCACACATCTGTGACATGTTCGTAGTAGGCTTATTTCATAAGCTGTTATTAGCAAATGTCTCAGACTACGTAGAAACAGAGGTTAGATCCTATGATTGTGTAACAACTCATTCCTCCAAGGATCAAAGTGAAGTCCCTGAGAACTTCATATCAAAATTATAAGGATAGTTGACGCTGCCTGACAGTGCGTCCCAGAACATTCAATACAGTATGAATGAAAGAATTTTAGGCATTTCAGCTGGCTCTTGTTGGAAATGGAAATATTTTGAATAAAATGGTTGGTTGGATTTCAAGTCTCGAAAAACATATATTGACTATGACTAAAGCCTAAGTAAGTTGTGAGATGTAGAATGAAATTAATTGCAAATCAGTTGCATATTTAAGTAATTCTGGGATTTGAATGCCTTACCGGCATAAGAATTTGAGTTAAAAACACCGCCTTTTGGAAAATCACTTTACGCAATATTTTACTCAATAGTTGGGTTTGCTAACCAGTCGATCTTGAAATATTATCGCGTCATGAACCGCTTGCTCTTCTACTCGAAATTCATTTGAAAGAATTTCATTGTTCAAGTCCATGATACTACAGTCATTCTCAATAATTAAAAAAACTCCTGGGTGACGAAAAAGAATGAAACATTTGGGAGTGTACGTCATGAAAATACTCTTTTCAGTAGCTATTTTAGGAGCTTCTAGAGGAACAAAATAACTGATATCAGGTATCTTCAGGACTTCGTTTTGATTTCACCCTCGAGTATGAAACTTTTGCCATTTTAGGAAAGTAACTTGCTATTTCACCTTAGAATCGTCGTCACTGCGTCATTTGGTGGGTCAACTCTGTATGCCTTGTTACTGCCATTACAATATTAGTGTTAAATATGTCCTGGTTTATGCCACTTCCCGGACTGGCAGGTAGCTTGTTAGGATCTAGATCGTTTTGTTGTGATGTAGAGTGACAACTGAAGGTCAAGTAAAACTTGGGTTGTGGCTGGACTCAAACGAGTGGCCTCCAGGTTTAAAGCCTGGTGATTTGCCAATGTAAATACCAGACTCGGCTACCAACCAGGTTCCAACTTCATTTCAATCATAGAAGGTTTTCCCAGATTTCATATTTATTACGTGATTTGTGACAATCCATTGGTCGTTATGTTAATATCTGTGGACTCAGGACTACTTATTACAAATAAATCTGGCTGGACGCAGACGGGCTAGCATCGTGTTTAGTGTGAATGTGATTCTCTGAGATAGTCATGGTTTGATAGATTGGTATTGCTGATAAATGATGACTGAAAGTTGAATGAAAACACCTGTCTCTTAAAGAGTGTATGCTGTTTGATAGATGGGTAAAATGGTTGACTCTTAAACCACAAACAGATCAGTATTCTTAAGATACTGTCAGTGAATCCAACTAGCAGATTAACTCAGAACATCTGTTTTTTTAAAAGATTCTGAATAAAAAATACAATGAAAATGTTAACTTACAAAATATAACATTCCAGATGCAAGAGCTATCAATAATATACAAGCCAAAACAATTAGAATGATTTCAGTTATTTGTAGTGCTGTTACTGCAGTTGATTCAATATACGGGTCTGTAATCAAAGTGAATAATTCATTTAGGCTCTACTCAGTAATTACATAACTGTTTAGGGATGAATGTATATATGAATGCAATCATATCGTTTTCAACAACTGTTCACATATTAATCCGAGGACTGAATACCACATGATCTCGGTGTAGTTGGGAGACTAACTACCTACTTCATTGCTTAAGATGTCTGTGTTTTGAGAAAAATAAGAAGGTCGAAACTATGGTGAGAAATAAGTTGTGAAATAACGATGCACAGACTTTGCACTCTGTACTTTGCATTGGTACGTATGGGAAAGAAAGACGCTACCAAGTTCTCAAGCTGTTCAGTAGCATTTTATATTACACTCCCATAATAACAGAGAGGGTATGTTCCATAAAATGTTCTCGAATGAAATAAGCTTTTGATTATAAGCCAAAAGATAGGAAAAAGAGAATTGAGTACTATTTGAGATGCTAACTAGAAGAAAACTTATCACGACCAAAGAAACACTTGGTAACTAAGTCGAGTGAAGTAATATGGATTAAGTGACTAATAAGTGCAGTTAGAAATCAGAATTAGAGTGATGGAAGACTATGATGTAAGGATTTTGACCGTGAAATATTCCTGTAGATAATGCTCAATACAACTCAAATGACTGGACAAACGTCTTCTGAATGCAAATTTCAAGATTCAAAATATCAGTTACTATGACTTCTGAAGACTGAACACGTTTCAGGCGTAAACCTTTATGAGGCTTGTTCGAACTCTATAGATGACATTGAAGTTGCTTTCTGCATTTACTCTGTGGTTGTAATCGGCCGAATTTCATAAAATGGAGCTTCAATGTGCTCTTATGTTTTCGCTGTGTAGCCAGCTTGGTATATGTTCGAAACTGCGTTTTGAAAGGGAGTGATGATTACGCCCCAAATACTACTACTCGACTCACTAAACCAAGGCTGTCTTCTTAGGAAACATTTTTTTATACAAAAGCAGGAGGAGGTAACTAATCAACTATCTGTCCTAATATTGTTATGGTATTAGGAACGCAAAATTGGTACACTTGTGGTTCCAGTATTATGTATTTAAATCCTGATCTCTCCTCAATCAAAGGAGTGCTTTCTCAAGCTTATCTACCTAAGACACGATGGATAGCTGAGAATTTTTTGACTTCAGAAGACGTCAAGAAAGCGTTCAACAGCTGACTTAAATAGGTAATCCGCGATATATACTACCTAGAATTATACATTGGATGCCTACTGATAATAATTAGAAAGCCACAGATCAACATTTGGCCTTTGCCGACACCTATCAGTAAAATATATCTTCAGCTTCAAGGCAGCTGAAAACCTCGAAGGTATCCTAAGGAATGTCACTCTCTGCCTTGATGAGATCAGTATATCTACTGCTACTAATCCTCTGTAGTAATGGATTAATTGTACTACTGGATCACCTGACCAGGGGGATCGCATCATCATGACACTGTTACACGCTTGTTAAGTATGCTTTGTAAGGTACATGACCTATTACTGCTTCATCCTGATAATATCCCGCTATTATCTCTGTCTTTGTGCTTATCGTTATATTCTCTTTATTGCTTTCGGTTTCTGATATGGAAAGCTGTTGCAAAATGAATCTGTCTAAAGAAATTAATGACAAACATTGGATGTTCTTTTATGACACGGGACTCACGTACCTGTGAAACATTTCTGTAGCTACACAGCTCTTTCTCACTACCTACATTGTCAACGAATAGGGGAGAGTGATGTGCATCGGCATATTAGATTGCGAACAGATATGAAGCCGAATGAGTGGATTTCATCTTATAAAACATATAAACTAGTGCGAAACCCAATTCACACATTAAAACTTTAGCAGGTAAGCAGCATACGGCTAGATTTTTCAAGTTCAAGACTGTCGGAGGAGAATACAGTGAACGGAATAAATTATTTTAGTGTGAACAAACTTTTAGCATTCATTTTTATCTGATTTCCTAAGCATATTTCAAACATTGAATTTCTGGATAGGATAGGCATTTGCGTAAATGGTATTTTTAATCTTCGGTCTCGAATCTGAAAAACGTTAGATTGTTAGAAGGATTATGAATGTCGAAATACCACACAATAAGATGTATTTATACTTTTTTACATACTTGAATCGGTAATTGTTACTTTTTTAACCAAACTTCCTTGAAATCTTCCAACCAGTATACGAACAAATAATAGGTAGATTCCTGGAATTGTGACATCTAGACATGAGATAAATATAATTAAACAGAAGTCAACTATTTTGATTGAATTCTTAAGATTACTATTTTGGATATTAGCTTAATACTGTATTGTAGTCAGAAGATATGAAAGAGTGAGAATAGGTTCGTAAAAAGCTTTTGGTTCCAGTATATACTTTCGATAAGATGTCACTTTAAATGAGGAATTATTTCATTTAGAAGTATTGTTTATCCTTCACATAAATCATACACATATCAGTCATTAGCAGTATGCTTAAAAGTGCCTACCAGAAATTTTTCCCTGAACATATCATGTCACATTTCTTTTTTTCAATTCCTTTTACAGACTTAAATATATCTATAAATGAGACTACGTACGTTCCCAAGATTTCAATATTGTTCGAAGCTTTCACCCTTCAATTCGATACTAAAACGGACCAATAACAGTACGTCAGATAATAGAGGTTCTCAATCGCTTTTCTGGAAATAGGAAGAACAAACTACAGAATACTGTGCCGTACAAGTAAACCACCACCGACAAACATACAGAGAAGAAAATATTCTCATGCTTCAATACTGGGTAATAATATCTTTTCTACGCTTGAAAACAGCGTCATTTCTGCTAAATTCTCAACAACTGATGATGTTAGGTTGTAAAAAGTTGCTGAATGAGATAATGTGAAAAAAGTTCATATGAAATAAATATCCTAGTATTTTATTTGCTAATACTTAGAAATTAGATGAAAAACGACGTACTGGGAACCAGAACATTCCATTCCGAATTTAATGATGAACCAGAGTAAACTGGTGTAGTTACATTATTGAAATGATCAAATTTACAAACTTCTGACGAAAACTCTTCACTCTGTGAGGGTAATTTGTTCATAAACACACTCATATGCCATATACAGCAGGTGTTTTCAACTTGGAATATTTTACAAACTCCAGCAGAACAAAATGATGATGCATCGTTGCTGGAGCTAAATAAAAGTAAAAAAATGCTGAGATCTCTATTATAAGTAGTGATAAGTGGAATATACTCACTTTGACTATGTTTGAATAATTTATATATATATATATATATATATATTTTACTGTTCAAATCAATCTCCACAGTTGCTGAATAATAGGAAAGATTAAAAACTGAGGACTGGAATTATGAAGATTCACTGTTTTCTGAGGTTTGATGTATTCTCATCGATGCCTTATCATTTGTCTTAGTTGCGTCATAAACACTGATTTCGTGAAGAAGTTAGTTAGTTCATCAAACACTAAACCATCATCATAGTTAATAGTTTTTGTACCAAAGACTTTTAAAGTAGTCAAAAGAAATACGTATATAGGATTATTTAGTAGCTATTCTATAAGTTAGGCGTCATGGAAAGAGTAAGCGTTTCGTCTATGACCAGTACAAGTTTTATTCTAATTCCCGATTAGATCGCGATGAGATTCTTATTTATTTTCAAAACGTCAATATTCACTTCTTCACTGAAAAGCTGGTCATCTAGGTGAAACTAAAATCTTTTTATCATTTATACTCAGTTGCTGTATTCCTTTTGTCAGTAGTTTTAAAGATTTCCATTGGTATTCGGATTTTAAAAAGACCAGTTTTCTTCAGTTTTGTTCAAAGTCCTGTGCACGATAATTGATAAATGGCAGCTTAACATTCAGAACTAAGTATTAAGTGTTCATAGCAGTGATGTTCTTATTGTAAATGAGTGACTATTAGCTGCCTAATGAGATAGCTGAAGTCATGTTATCTCAGTTATCTCAGTTGTTACTACGAAAACTTTCTGCTCAGTTTGGATATATCCTCATAGTTAGCTGGTAAGCAGTTTGACCTTTTGATATTTACTCAGCTAGACCTTGAGGATAGTTATGCGTATCAAATTACGAGCTGAATTATCGGTATGACCATACAGTTCAGTATGGGGTTAAATCAGATATCACTATTTTATTCCAGTGACTGACAACACAATAAATTTGTTGTAACTTAAAATATTTGACGATGAAAACTACCTGAAAAAAAAGTGATTATCTTTCCACTAATATTGAAGTGTACTCTTGAAATGTGCATCACCCTAACCATTTTCATTGTTTCCTATGAATAGAACAGTCATCAAATTGCGAATAATTGAAACTAATAAAGGACTTAAAAGTTACTCTTCTTAGTTCAGAACATATCACAAGCAAATTTATTGAATCAAACGTGGAATGAAATGCAGTGTATTGTATCCCCGTGACATGAATGTTATCAATGAGATTATATTAAGTGTTCTGATACAATGAAGTTTTTCACCATATACTTAGTCACAATAAAGTATGACCATCAGCATCATAAGTAGGACTGATCCTTATTTTAGACGTCATTGATTTCGCCATCCGAATCGCTAAGAGCACGATTATTGCCAAGATCATGATGATGAACAATAATTGTACGACGATGGTTTTGGCTTACAAAAAGTGAAATGGTAAACACTTATCTCATAATGTATAGAAAACCGGCCTTTTTATAATCCACAAATTCACCGGCACTTACTAGACTATCCCAAAAGAAAGTGAAACCGCAGAGTTCATTTGGTAACAAGATTTCAAATTCATTCCCATATCTTTTAATCATATTCTAAGGAGTCTCAAATTTTCTAATGTGTAAACCCTTGCTTTCATAATTTCCTAGTTCTCCAAGAACTGATATCAATGTCAGACTCAAGGCAGTTCTTCCAATACCTAGCTAAATAACTTCTGCATCTATCCAACGGTCATCGAGTAGCATTAGTTGATTCTTCAAGGACTATAAAAGATACTTTAAATGCAACAAGTAAATCTGGATTGTACTTAGTAATCTGCAGATGAAATATTGTAGTGAATGATGCTTAGAATTCATGAACGTGTGCAAACATTGTTGCACCGTTGCCTAGATCTTCACTTTTAATTCAGATGTTAATGCATTCCATTCAAATGATGCCATAATATTTCAGCATACATATTAGTAGACTAATACTATCTGTAACATAACCTCTTGTGTATGAGCAGAGATTACCAAGATGTCTGATTAACTGCGGATTAGGCTAGTTGAATGAACCTGATGCTCGAGCTGAAGATTTGTAATGGTTAAATGCATTTAATCGAAAAAACTGTCTCAAGGATCAATGAAGTAAATTTTACAACATTAAATGTCGGCCAACTTCTTTTTGCATCCAGTTCAGCGATTTTCAGATCTAAGGAAAATAGTACATTGATGTAAAAACCTGTGTAAAAATGTGGTCGAGGTAAAATAATTATTAACTGATGCTAAAATGGTAAACAGTTCATCAAGGGTAACGAACATTAAATGAATTTCAACTGATAAACTTAATGCTGAAGTTTTATGTGGTTTAGCAGCTACGACTTATGGTTAGGAAATGAAGCAATAAATATCGTGATTCAGATTTCTTTATGAGTCGTTTGATAAGCAGCGCGCTAGGTAGGTTTAGTCAGCTTTCATTGTAAAACCAAAGCAGGAAACTGCTCGCTATCATCATTTGATCAAAGGAAGAACTAGTGAAGATCATGCAACTAAAACTCATTGGTTCATTTTGTCTCGAATATCTTAGTGCATTCCGTTCTTACTTCCTCTTAAAAATAGTCTTATGTTTACATGACGTCATGAAACGCTTAATTTTCCTAGCATAAGATCACCTTTCATGGGATACATCCTTCCTAAATGTTGAAAAACTCCAGCTGAAAATTAAAAGTTGAAAGTCGGTATTAGCTAAATAGTGAATACCAGTTGATTTTCACTAGTACCATAATGACATCCATTCACAAGAAATTACTCTGCCTAAAGCTGGGAATATAATACAGAAGAATGAAATGGGAAGGAAAAGTCTCACCTCACCAATGGAATTCGTGAAAATACATTAAGTGCTTGTGCTTGTCCATAAAACTCAGAAACAGCGCTGATACGAAATCTAATTTTTATAATTTCGCCAATATACCATTCACTTGGAGGCTCAGGGATCCATTGCATGCTGAGACCTAAAATACATTAGAATAGATATCATGATTTGACGAGTTGCACGTAGTGTTTGAACTACAGGGATATTTACTGATCAAGGTGCACTATTATAGTGGCTGTTCATTAATTCTAACAGATGAAAAAGGATTTGCTTCCAAACTAAGAATAACACTCAAATAATTATCTCATTCCGAATGGTTTTATTTATTTCACACCATGAAAAAAAACATTCAGGGCTGCTGAACCAAATCGGATAAAAACTGGGATCACCTCAGGATTAGGAGTGATAACTGATTACTTCAGTGCCCCCTAACTGCCGCTTTTCACCGCAGTCGCTTATCTCTCTTTCTTCCTCTCTCTCTAAGCACACATATAAGCAGCACTTCATTTATCTTTAGAACCTGCTGACATACACTGAGATGCCTCAACAGTAACCTTTGGGACTACCAATTTATCGCACGTTTAAAATCACATTATCCAGTTGCATACAAGCACAATAATTACTGCTAGTAAATCTGTTATTTGAACTGACCCACATTTCTCCATGGAACATTTCAGAATTGCAGAAACATTACCTAGATGTGTCAACAAACGTGATGTTTTCCAGGTAAAGATTCGTTTAAATTTGGAGCTACTAAAGCATTCCATGCAGTTTAAATGCGAACAGAAATATTTATGGAAGTCGGGTCAAACTAGACATGTTCGCATGAGACAGTGTTGTCCAATGAGTTTAACTTTTAGATGGATATTTGGAAAAAAGCAGTAGGTTGGATTGGGTTTAGAACAGATATCACAGTTGAAAGACAGTTTACTACCATAAACCACATTCTTTCGTTATACAGTATCGTCGATTTCATCACTCTAATATGATGATAGTCACCAACTGACTAAATCATCACTGTCCTTAGGTGAGAAAACATTTTAATGAATATTCATCCAACATAAATTCTTGTACTTTTGCACTCGTAACATTAGCCCACTTATTTTGAAAACCTGTCAGCTCGACAGCTTTATTGCAGAATTCAAAACCTGTCGGTCGAATATCACGCTAAAATTAGGTAGTTCTATAACGGCTTCCTCTTAGCCTGCTTCAATTTTTTAACATACAACAAACTGCACTATGATGTGACATTAATTAACTTGATTATTAATTTGCATCCTCTTGGTCATAAGGTATGTATGATGGAGCTTTGAAGATCTTGAACCAAAAGTATTTATAACTACATTATAATACTGCTGTATCGCTGAGTATTCGACAGTACCTTTTATGTCTTCTATAGTACGCTCCCAAATTTTCATTTCTACTGTAAACGCTCAGAAATTATGGACCTATAAGGAAATTTTCGGTCTTCACATATCATGATGTCTTAGCCTGAAAATATGAAAGGCGTGATACACCCAAATGCCTTCTAGGCAACCGAACAACATCAGCCGTTCATGACAAATGAGAAACTATACTGAAATCTAGTTAGAAGATACAATCCGTATACCAACAGCGGGTCATATCTAAAGCTGTAAGTGATTAAACCTATTTGGATCCAGTCGTTTCACCTTCTCCCTAAAGCATTAAATCATTGTTATATGATTAAAAGTACTCGTAGTACAAAATATTGTGTAATAAAAAATCTCCTCAAATATTTGAATAAAAGCGTAATGATAATTTCCTAAGTTTATTGGCATTCAATAAACTGATGTTTCGAGATTTTATCAACCACACTCTTACTGACGTTCTTTTAGCAAAAATGACGAGACTGGCAATATTTATTACTGTCGAGATGGAAATTCTGTGATAAAAAGATACATGAAAAATGTTGTTAACTTCATGATACTGCTGAATTCACTTTCAGACAATTAAATGACGTCTGTTTCAGACTACGAGAGTCTAACTGAAAATGTCCAAATACTATTCAACATGCATGTCTTTTCGTTCAAATGAGACTGGTATCATTACTGGCAGTCATTAGCTGTCCAATATTTGTTGATGTGTTTTTTAGATTAGAGTTTTGGTTGACGTAGTTTGCTAAAAATTGGATTTTAGGCATAAGTATGCGTTGCTTCAATCCTGTAACAAAGTCCTTCGCTTCAACTAATTTTGCTACAGGTATTTCACTGATCAAATATAATTGTATACACTGCATATCGGATAACAGTTGGGTTTTGGAAGTATGGACTTTTCATCCGGAACTCAAAATGATTCAGACAGGAAACGCATCTGTTTAGCGAACTTTTCAATGAAATTGGACCTTGTTAGAGGCTGAATGTCATTTCCCTAAACCAATGAACCATAGCTCATCAGCACATGGGCGAGTTTTAAGAGTATGAAGCCTCTAAATTTGTGCAATAAACTTATATACTGAGATAATCATGAAAAATTTCAGTGTTCGGTATAATTGTTTTCAGGGTAGTCTAGTTGTGCTTGCACTCCGGAAATAAGTGACAACAAGCACGAAACCTTAATCCAATGTCTCTACCCTATTCGCCTTCAACATACAGTTGGTCGTCGTATTTAAGTCAATCAGTTTAGTAAGTGCAATCAGGATTTCATCAAATATCTTCGATTAATGTTATGCATTAAAGACTGAAATTCTACGTAAGCTACATCTGCTAGTGATCGATCTGTTTATCTTGCAATAATGTACACTGAAACCTATCTCACTGGCCTTCCCATAGCCTTCAGTGTTTGTTAATACAATGTTGGAAATTCGGTCACTGCATGCAATCCCTTTGACATTTACTACTCAGTAGCATTAGAATAAGGCCATACGTCACATTCTAATTTTACTTTCAGTCTTATATTGACTATGAATAAAACTGTTGTTTATTGACTTTGAAGAACTTTCGGGATGCTTATGAAGTTCGATTTTTCTCAGGTTATCGAGTACTACCCTTATTTTTGGCCCAATATTTAAATTTACAAACTACTGAATTGTTAACACTTGCAAAAATGCTTCTGCATGAAGGCACACGTTTTCAGGCCTAATTATATCTAGAAATCCTTAGTTTAGTAAAATCCAGTTCGCTTTCATTTTGTAACCGAAAAGCCTACAAGGGTTCAGTTAAATAATGAAACAACAGTTAGGGCATAAGCAAAGCCACAGATATATATAGAGAACCTTAACCGAAAGTATAGCATACTTATGCCTTTCATGGTATTCATATTGCACAGCGATTTTCTCTGGAGGTGAGACTTTTGGTAAATAATGACCACATAATCAGTTGTTAAAGATTGAGTGAACCAAATACATTCTCAATGAACGATTATAAAAGTGAAATTTTGACAAATGATGAAAATCAAACAAAACTACTTTTAGCCTTAGTCGGAGTTGATTTAGTTCTCAGGAAATACCACAAGATATACCTATTGAATTTCAACAACCAATCAAGGATTAGAAATGTATATATACGGTTAGACATTTTGAAAGACCGCTTTCATGTTTTCTGTAAGTTGAATCATTACTTCATATGTTTTCAGTCCAAATTTAGCTTTCACAACATCCTATGGAGAATTTATTACTCAGTAAAATTATCTTTCTACTGTTTTATGGTTGAACTTTATTCTATACTGAGTTAGATAACAATGGATTTTGTCCCGAAACAATCTAAACCACTTTAATTAGCTTTAATAGTTCTGCTTCTTACAGGAAATACTCAAAAAAGTTGTTAAATTCTAACAGATAAGTAAGTAGCGAAACACTGTTGATGTCCAGCTTCTGCATACTTTGAGACGTACCACCAACCTTGCGAAATTTATTCTGCAGTTGTTACATGAATTTTGATAGATTATATTATTTTGCTTATCTCTGAGTGAATTTGTAGTTTTAAATGACACCCTAATTCCAGCTTTGTTGAGAATCCTATGTAAAGTTTCTGATCTTTCTTCCTTATAAGGTAACACAATGCAGGCTCTGATCTCCTCTCTACTCGTATTGTTGTTATTAGTCGTGCTCATGTTAGTGTTATTATTTCGTTTCTTGTATGCTTGTACGAATTTCCCAATATACTGTAGAGGATAATTACTAGCTATAACGCTTCTTTTCTGTACTTCAGTTCCTTGCTCCTTGTTTAGGACTTTTCACTGGTTAGTCAGTTTTCTAGCTCTGTTATCCAGTCATCTGACCAAACCTGCCTTACCTGACAGCAGATGAGATAACTTGAAGTCTAGGTACCTATTAGAATGTCTCGGTTTTCTCTAAACAGTTGTATCCCAACCACTATCTATCCGTTGCTTAATCCTGAAATCCAACATAAGTAATTCTTCTTGCTCATTTTCTGCTTCATAAGTGAATTGGAGTATGCCTACTACTGATTTGTACGTGAGACAATTGCCGATATGTTCCGATCTCAACACAGTAAATGTTTGATTCATATATCACCACCATGTTTTAGGTGTGGGATTAAACATTCGTACAACTATGTTTTCCTAAATCTCCATAAACATATCCGGTACAATAGGGGATATTAGTGATCCTGTTGCTGCTTCTTCTGGTTGTTCACACATTTTTCCCTGAAACCTGAAGACTATAGAGGTTAATCACAACTACACGCCTAGTATGGTTTCATGTTTATATATCATTGAGTACATCGGACCAAAATACTCTGAATTTCTGGGAAAATATATGCTTTCAAGTGTAAATATCAGGTTAGTTTAGGTGAGAAAATCTTGAATGTCCTGGAAACTAACAGGACCACATATCCTCTTTCTGTAAAATATGTGGACACGTATATAATCAAACGTTTGAGCATTTTTTGACCTTTCAGCTGCATTCTGTTCTTCTTTAAGAGTGATAAGTGATGATTTCTGTCCAAGCTTTTACAAGCTTCTAATAGCTTATCAACGTATATCATCGGGCAACATTTTTCTGACAAAAATATTTACGGATGCACAAGCATCTAGACGAATTATATTGTATTCAGTTAAATCTTACTCTAGCTTCACGTTAATATATATATATATATATATATATATATATATATATATATATATATATATAGTAGTGATTTGCCAGTCAACA